TCAAAACAAAATGTAAACAAAACCTGGCATTTGCGCTATATGTCTGTCCAACCGTAATTCACCTCTTTCATATTAAGTGCACCCACACTTATTATATATCATTTTATTCAGGGAATAAGTGGCTACTAAAAAAGACTGAACATAACCCATTTGCAATACCCTGGGTTGTCTACTATTGCAAATGGTATGCCATCATAGGGGTAATTTTCATTCCTGGGCTACCGTACGGTCTCAAAGGCAACATAACCAACCTGGCGAATTTTTATGTGAAAAAACTGAAACGCAAGCCTTATATTTGACTCTGTAACTTTAGAAAACACCATAAAACCTGTACATGAGGGGTACTGTTATACTCGGGAGACTTCGCTGAACACAAATATTAGTGTTTCAAAACAGTAAAACGTATCACAATGATTATATCGTCAGTGTAAGTGCCATTTGTGTGTGAAAAATGCAAAAAATTGTCACTGACGATATCGTCGTTGTAATACATTTTACTGTTTCGGAACACTAATATTTGTGTTCTGCGAAGTCTTCCAAGTAAAACAGTACCCCCCATGTACAGGTTTTATGGTGTCTTGGAAAGTTACAGGGTTAAATATAGTGCTAACAAATTAAATTCCCTGAACTTTCGGCCTGGATGTGATGCCTGTTACTGATTGGTTTAAAGTTTTTTTCTGATTGACTTGTGCTGCTGGAGGCATAAAGTAAAGAAAGTTATGCAAAATATGAAGCCTCCTGTCATGTGATAAAATTCTAAGGCACTTACCATCCCCAAACCAAGGCAGATAAAGTAAGTATAATGAATTTATTAACTGGACATTATATGCGTTAAAACATATAAAACCATATTCATATTTGACAACTGCATATGTGTTAATGTATTTATATGCATATTTCATTCCTGCTTGTATTGTATTAGGGTTAAATCTTTGAGTATAGTGGTTGGATGTAGCTGTGTAAATGCATGTACGGTTAAAAGAACACTATAGTGTTAAGAACACAAAACTGTATTTCTAAAACCAAAGTGTTCCTCTGCCTCGGTGCTCCCAGGCCATTCTAAACTCTTTAACCCATTAAGGACTGCGAGCGTTCTATGCTTTCCCAGTGGGGGCTGTCCTAAACACCGCAAGTGGACATATATCGTCCCCGCCGTCCTGGCGACCTACTGGGTCCCAACTAATACCACGTCAGCGGTCACAATCCTGGGGATTGCCTGAGAGCCCAGCAAGTCCCCCTCCAGCCGATCCGGCCCATGTGATCGCAGGATCCTCGCAATTACATGGCCAGAATAGCCAGCTTGTGCAGTGCTTACAGTTTCCCTAATGCCTGTTAGAAAGTTTAGAAAAGTTAATAAAAGTTTAATAAATTAAATAAAAGTGCTTAGATAATATATATAGAGTGTAGATTACAATATTTTGTTAGTCCAATAAAAAAGGTATCATTGCATACTGCCATACTCTGGCATTTTGTCATCTTATATTTGTGGTCGGGGCAATATTGCCATAATGGTTAGATAACACATAATTAGTCAATAGCACCAGTCAGTTGTGGTGTGCCGGAACTGACGATGCAGTAGGCCTTTAATAAAGAGGGTAAAAAGAAGTGTACCATACAAATATATTCATTCTACAATACCTCAAAATTACTTGGATAAGTCACGAAATGCCTGACAAATCCCTAACCGGTTCCGGTATAGATTATGTATTTCCAGCGTCCCATGCCCTCTGTTACCGAGTTCGGCAGTGATTTGTGGAGTAGTCCTGGCTCTAAGGGAAGCTGGACTAACTGTGTATACTCTGCGAGATGGAGCACCAGACCTTGCACAGGTGTTGGGTAGAGACAGTCCCCCAGTGACTTGGGAACTTGAGACATACGATTTATACAAAGCCACCAGTAGTATAATCCATATAACTTACCGGCAGGCTAGCTATTGCCAAGTGGCAAAGAATTCAATTTATGAGGGTGACAGGTGAGGCCCTGCTAATTGCCAAGCTGCATGAGAGGCTCTATCTATGCATTGGCCCGAGGGGAGGTAGAGGCCACCAAAACGCGGGTGGCGGGGTGATGGCCTCTCGGGTGACCACCTAAGCATAAGATAGAATGGGAGTGACAGGCAAGGGCCCTCCCTATGCAACAATGCAAGGTGAATAACTATGCGTTGGGCTGATGGTGTTGTCCTCCAAGTATGAAAGGCACCTCAGGGCATGAAGATGGGTGTTGGCCTAGTGGGACCACTAAACTATGGCAAAGAGACCATAAACCTATCATAGTGGGCCCCTAGATCCCTAACAATCAGTACTATCTGCTAATAGGGGACCTCAGCATTGTACAATGGTATCCAAGAATGTGTGCCTCTGTGTGGCCAGATTGTGGATCCATTTGGAATAGTGACTGAGCACATAAGTATCTGTGAGGGCCTGATCGTGGACCCATGTAGAATGATGATTGAGAACGTATGCTATAGCGTGGACCGGATCGCTGACCAGAATAAGTGAAAATGACCTACCCCCTTGGTGGACACGAGGCAAGAAAGGCAAACGCTGCCAGGAAGGATGAGCTTCTCGGCAGGACCATGATTGGACAAAGCGTGCCAGCCAGGGAAGCGAACCTGAGCCTAAAGCATAGAGGAGGGAAACCGAGGAGGGTATAGGATCATGGCAAAAAAAAACGTCAACCAGAGCACGGAACATGTCAGCGACCATCACGAAGGCGCAACCGAGCGAACCAAAGCGTAGAAAAATGCAAAAAATGAGAACAGGGCATGGGTAAAACCAGACGAGCGTTAAGAGGTTAACACGATAGCAACACACAAAGCAGAGACACCAGAGCCAAACACCCACACACTCACAAAGCATACCCAGATACAACAAAACACACGTAACAGAGCCACACATCCGCAACACCACAAAACCAGCCAGTAGCACAGCAAGTGAGAAACCGAAGCAACCCAGCAATGCAAAACGGAAACAAAAGACCGCCCAACCCAGTAATCCAAGCCCGCCCGGAAAGAGCCACAACAAGAGTGCTGAACACGGCACAAAACAGCAAGACACACACGAGCAGTACAGCCCGCACGCCCGCGGAAGGCCGGGAAAACAGCTGAACAGCCCGCAACTCACACCCCCCCCAAAAAAAACACACCCGCATAAAAAAAATCTAAAATAGACCCACCCGACAGCTCAGCATATATATATATATATATATATATATATATATATAAAATAATAGTATAATAAATATTATATAATAATACATAAAAATTAAAAAAACTAAAATACATTTTAAAAAATTCAAAGAAATACATAAAAAAAGAAGCTGAACATCTGTGCTGCATATTGACCCAAGAAGCACATGTAGTGACCGTCTGAGTGACTACCATTAGAGGTGTCCCTAGGTGTTAATGTAAACACTGCTTTTTTCTATAAAAAAATGAAAATAGGATTAAGGTAAAAGTTTTAGCTTTTAGTTCAGGAGTTTGTAGGGTTATTGGCAAAGTACTCACAGTCTTATAAGCCAGTCAGATTGATGAAATTAGAGCTGCAGGAGTGGTTATACAATGTGCAACACTCAGAGCTCTCCCTGCAAGGCATTTTCTGTATGACAGGTTATTAGTGGGTAGATGGAAAGTGATCAGTTCCTGTTCAGCCTCACACACAGACACCATAGGAGACAGGGACAGCACTGAGTTACATCATCTGTAACTGTTCCTGCAGCTCTGCTATTAAGGCTAACCGGACTTCAGAAGACACTGTCCAAGGGTCCTGGTACCAATCTCTCCCACCAACTTATTTAAGCTCAAAGAGGCACATTATAAGTGCTGAACAAAAGACAGCTCCTAATGGTCAGGCACAGGTTGGGGGCTTTAATGAGGTTGGGTGGGATTGAGGCTGAAGTATTTGAGTAGAGTTACCTAAAAAAAAAAATATGTTTTAATGAGGAAATTAAATGTCATTACAACTTTCCTCTTATGGCAGGGAGAAATGATTTCCCTGGTGGTCTGGTAGCTGCATCGTGTGGTTTGCACCTCAGATGGGTGAAAACCACTCTTCTTGCCCTCTATGGCCTGGCGCTACAAAAAGTAGCAATGTTCCAATACAAATGGACAATCGATTCCTGAGGTCTGCACCAACTGGTGATGAATGGTGGGCTTGCAATAAGGAAATCTTTGATCTCCCCATTGACTGGGGAGTGGAACTGTGAGTGATTTGTGTACTTGTACAGCAGCTCCCTCCTTCTTCCTGTACGGCTTCCATCAATCACTTGGAGAAAGGGATATGATGTGATATCCGTTCCTTCCAGTGCTGCTGTAGAAGAATGTAGATTGCTGGTTGCAAATTAGCCTGGAAATTGTGGAGCTTCATACAGTAGTGTGGGTGAGGGTAGGCAAACAAATTAATAAATAAAATTGACTGAAAATATATGAAGAATGACAGCGGACCTATTTTGAGCAATGGAGCTGGAGCTCCATCACCGCCCATGTCAATCTGGCCCTGAGTTTACATCACAATCCAGTTCTGTCATGGCACAGCCAGGGCACACATTGCAAATAAGGAGGAGAAACATAAGCATTGCTTGATGCTTTCTTTATGCTGATTGACTGATGGAAAGGACAGAGCTTATAAAAATGTCTGTCAGAGAGCCAAAACAGCTCAGCTGTCCCAGAAAAGTGGTAAATAGAGCCATGTGGATTTCTAATGTTCACCATGTTATAACCATGTCAATATATATATATATATATATATATATATATATATACAGTTATTCACTAAACCCATAACTTTTGAAATTTGAATTGAATGGCAAAATAGATGCAAAAATATCAAAGTTTTGACTATGGATGTGTTTCTTGAACAGCTATATTTACCTCTGATTGTCCATTTAAATGTAATTGGCCAACATTCTGAATTTAGTAATCCTAATAGTATTTCTTTGTTTCTAAAACTTGAACCTCTCATCCAGTGCATTTTTTTAATATCAGTTACCACAAATGTAAGCTTCTCCCACATAAAGTTTATTGCAAAAGTTTCTATGACAAAGTTGTGCGAGTTCATGCTAAGGTTTTTGTTGTATGACATTGCCAAATGACATAATCAGATTTTATCAACAGAATATGTCACGAAAGGTTATTTGCGCTCAATACACTATATGCCAGTAATACTCAATTGTGTTACGTAACAATGTCCGTGCATTTCTCCTCTGGATAGTTTTATGGAGAGACTGAAAAACAACCCACAAAAATGAATCTAAAGTAATACTGAATTATAATTTCTCATCAAATTTCTTGCATGTTTATTTACATTATCTTACTAAAAGCAGGGAAATATATATATTACAACAAATGTACAATTGAGGTAAACTTAAAGCACGTACAATGAACAAAAAATGTAAACCGCTGAAGTAAAAGGTACCTGGTAAAAGTACCTGGTAACACTAACACTAATATAGTTATGTGCTCAATTCCAAATTCTAGTGAATTACATTCAAAATATAAAATTGAGGATAAAAAGTCTGCAACTATATGTGAGAAGGAGAATTGTTCCTGAGCAGCTATTTTAGCCTCAATATTGCAATTTTGGATGTAATTTGCTGAAATTCTCAATTTAGTGAATTTACTCTACAAATCATTTTTGTATTTTTATTTTTAATTAACATATTTAGCATTTCATTTAAATAACTGCAACATTTATTTTTCAGATATCATGCTTAAAAAAAGTCACGAAGCTCTACAAAAGAGAAAAAAGTTATATTATACATTATATAATGATTTAACCTAGTTAGCTTCTAAAAGCATATATGTGGAATTTAAATATTACCTAATCCTTGCACTAGAACAATCTCAAGCATATGGCAGGGTTGTGACATCATAATGAGACAGCTTATGCAAATTAATAATTTTCAGTTGTAGAAGTTCTTTTTTAATGTCATAAAGGATTGTGGGCCTTATTTCCCCCTTTGCCTCTTTATTTATCTGTTTGCCCTGAATTGAAGTGACAGAGTTTCTTTATACAGCTGAGCAAATGTTCTGTATATGGGGACAGTAATTTTCCATATATTCTCCCCATAGCTTTCCTGGAAACAACTTTCTATTTTGTTATATAACTAGAGGCTTCAGTATGTCAGATACCCAGCTTTAGTACTCTTTTTACAAGGGTGGTGGCGTTACTGAAGCCCAAGCTGGTGCAAGTCTTTCATGTGCTGAGATATCATACTGGTTGTCTTCCAAATCCGTAGTTCCACTTTCATATAAAGGAGATCCCATAGTGGGCGAATGGACAATTTGATTGTATGGAGTATAATGACCAGTAGAGCTTCGTAGGTACTGAGATCCAAGTCCATTAGTAATCCCTCCTGTCTGTGGCAATGGTCCTATTGTGCTGTTACTCACAGACCACAAACTGGGATACTGACTGTATAGAAAGAAAAATACAAAGAATGGAATTATTGAATGGAAGGAGGAATCAAGTATACAATGCAGAAAATATAAAAGGTATACAATGTATAATATATATATATATATATATATATATATGTAGTCGGGGCAATCTAGCCGTGATAATAGTGTAACATAGCATATTATAACCAATAGACATATTCAAATGACACCAGTCGATTGTGGTGTGCCGGAACCAACAGAGCAGTAGGCGTGTAATAAAAGTGGGCCCACTTTAGAGGGTGATATGAATAGAGGGAGCGGTGGGAGGGGTGATTCGCCAGACTGTCCACAGTAAGGTGGGAGAGGATTGGCGGCCCTTTTAAAGGGAATTCAAGCCCCTCCCACAACTACAGGCCAAGGCCTTACATTTGTAGTCGGGGCAATCTAGCCGTGATAATAGTGTAACATAGCATATTATAACCAATGGACATATTGAAATGACACCAGTCAGTTGTGGTGTGCTGGAACCAACAGAGCAGTAGGCCTGTAATAAAAGTGGGCAAAAAGAAGAATACCATACAAAATTAATCCTACAATAACCATTGTTTATTCTGCCAAGTCACAAAAGCTTGTATTACCTCTTTAATTGGGTTCAGAATGTAAAGAGTATAGGAGAAGAACTTCCAGCCTCCCATAGCCCCGAAGGGAATTCAAGCCCCTCCCACAACTACAGGCCAAGGTCTTACATATATATATAAACGAGACATGACACAGACAGACTCCTGCAGCTTTGGATTTGTCTGCTTTTACAGGCAGGGTTGGCAGGTTTGCCTAATAATAAATCCAGCTCTGGATTCCATCACTCTCACATATCCATTACATATTTCATCTATAGCCTGAAGCCCTGCAAAAGGAGGAGAAGGGTGCACAGAGGTGATTGCAACGGTATCAAGCTGCCCAAGGTTGGTTTATGTAAGAGATCATAATGCATAATGATAGTGCAGCCTTCTCTCAGCTAACTGCAAAGCCATATAGATAGCCACCTTTGCTACTGAGATAGCCTCAACTACATCTTCTGCATGATCTCTCCACAATGGTCTGTGCACTTTATACAGTGGATAAAGCCACCCCTTTACCCAACTCAGAAGCCTCACTCTAATCGCAACAAATATATCACTGTGCACAGTCATCATACGCACAGGCCACTTGCTGGCATTCCACATTCAGTTTCATTACCCCAGCCAGGCTAATTGAATGAGAAACCAGCATTCAGTTATGATGAACTACCTGCCACAAAAGTAGAATGGCAATTCAGAAATTAAAAGTTTAGTTGGTTTGTTAACCATTTCACACATGCCAGACAACAGTCAGAATTATTCTGTGTACTCTCTCTGAATCAGTGATGATGCAGGTATTCCAGGGATTCCTTGAGGGCAGTGTTCCCAATGGTGTCCCCAATGGGCTCCTCTGATATGACTATTTGGCAGTTGATGGAATCATGGTACTTAGTACTCCTCATATTATGGAGTAACATTGCCTCCCATGTGGGCAGCAAAATGCCAACATCACAATGATAATGTCTCTCCTGGTATTATCATTGCATGTAGGGGATTCATAAATGTGTGGACCTGTTTCCTTGTGGCCACGAGTACCTCGGTCTGGACTGTGGATAATGCATGCTGTGAAGTGCCAAAGGTAAAATCAGTAATTGAACAGATACAAACAAATGCAGGATAGATGAACTTCTTAAGTGTTGTGAGTGTAGTGTCCATCCAGTAGTGTTAATGTTACTTCATGAGGCCGTAGAGGTGGAGGATTATACCTGTTTTTATACATCTGTGTCTGGCATGCCAAGTAGACTGACTAGAATATGGTAGACCCACTGCCTCCTATTACATTGTATCCTCTCACCTAATAGTGATGGCGCAGCAGCATTCCTGGAAATAGCAGCAACAGTGACATTTATATGCATGTCACCTGCCTTTGCATGATGTTTAATGTAAACATAGTGGACCACTAGATGGTGCTTTTCAGTCAGTTGTTGAAGGTTAAGTTAGTTTCTGTTGGCTAGGATCTATAACATCAAATTGAGTCAGAGTTTAATTTTTCAATTTATTGTTTGTATATGTGATATGTAGTTGTGGTTTAGCTATATAAGAATATTTCCATTTCTTTTATTACTTTAAAAAAAAGTAGACTATGACAAATGTTTAAATTGTTATTTTTGCCATATTCCTTTTGGCAGAGAGATACATGGCTACTGTGGCGGACCGCCTGGTACCCCGACTGGGTACCTCTGCCAAACACACTTTCTAGCTTTGGCTGGGACATCATAAGCACTTTCAGCCCCTAGCTGCCGCAGCTTGGCTGCGGCCTTGCCGTCTCTTCCCACCCTGGACCAGGGTCCTGCATCCAGCTTCTCCTACAGCCCTCCTACAGAAGTATAGCTGTATATTAGTAATTATAGCCAGTATAGCATTTCCACAACACATTAGCCAAGACTTTATTCTGGGAGTAGATCTGTTTAACCCCTTAAAGGACCACTATAGGCACCCAGACCACTTCAGCTTAATGAAGTGGTGTGGGTGCCAGGTCCAGCTAGGGTTAACCCTTTTTTTTATAAACATAGCAGTTTCAGAGAAACTGCCATGTTTATGTTAGGGTTAATCCAGCCTCCAGTGGCTGTCTCTTGACAGCCGCTAGAGGCGCTTGCGTGCTTCTCACTGTGAAAATGGCCTGCCGAGCATGCACATTCAGCCGAAGAGGAGGAGAAGAGGGAGGAGAGCTCCCCGCCCGACGCTGGAAAAAGAGGTAAGTTTAACCCCTTCATCTCCATCCAGCCTGGCGGGAGGGGGACCCTGAGGGTGGGGGCACCCTCAGGGCACTATAATGCCAGGAAAACGAGTATGTTTTCCTGGCACTATAGTGGTCCTTTAAAGACCAAACTTCTGGAATAAAAGGGAATCATGACATGTCACACATGTCATGTGTCCTTAAGGGGTTAATGCAGGTAAAGCTTCAGAATTTATACATACAGTAAACTCCTCCCGTGTGCCTGAGAGATAATTGAGTCAGGAACTGTACAAACTCAATTATCTCCAGGTACAGAAAAACACATAATTTGAAAAACACCCCAAAAGTTCCCCCAAAATCTATGGAAACCCCTCAAGAGTCACATCCCCAGATAGCCCTGATCTGAGTTACTATCATATCCAAAAACCACTTAGATCGGTTCAGTGGTTTGGATTTTCCCTGGAAGTCAACTTTTGACCGACCGCACACGTGGCTTCTGCCCAAAATTGTTCCATAAGAAAAGTGGCAGTGGTTGGTCAATTTCAGGAGTCCAAAACCGAACAAAATACCTAACAGATCTCCTGGTTCCAAGGTAGCGATTGTTCGCCTAGTTCATGCGAACAATCCTACCGAACGGCACTCTCCTGACATAAATAGCAACGAAGCAGGTGTTCTTCAAAGTTCAGCAGTTTTGGCGAGTAGAGATGTCGCGAACCGTTGAAACATGGATGCTGTCCAGGAAGTAGGAGGGTCTGGGAGGGAGGGTCTGCTGGAGATTGGCCGGGATGTATCAGCTGACCGGAGTTCGCCACGAACAGCTCGTGGCGAACCGTGGCGAACCGTTCGCGAGAAGTTCGCGGACGGTTCGCGACATCTCTATTGGCGAGTTAGAGTGTTCGATTTTAGTTCCATGCACTCGTCGACCAAACGCCGCTGCCTCCATTTCTTGCGAACAAGATGGATGCCAACTCAGTTCCCACGTTTTCGTGTATACGAACGATGGCCAGTGAGCCAAACATTTAGAATCCATAGTGTGAAAATGATGATGGAGGAGTCAGGAGAGGTCAATAGGGGTTAACAAGCCCAGAGGTGGTCCACTGTTTGTGGGTTTGTTCGGCTCCCGAACAATAAAGGGAAACCACACAAACCAAGACTTTTAGAAGTCTGGTACATGACCCATAGTCCTTGGGCAGAAAGCTAGCCAGCAGGCTCCTCCAGGAGCTTGTGGTAGAGGCATCTTTGCCACAGCTACTATTTATAATGTAAAAGGAACAAACTGAGTCTAAATAAATTAAATGATTACGCAGCAATGGGATCTGACCAGGAATTGTGTCTCAATTGCAGAACCCAATTAACATACTCGATGGAGCAGTAGCTTCAACCTCATACTATTAGAATGCAAATATACATGCACCTTCTATATAAGGGGAGTGAGGAGTTGATTCAGAGGCAATTTATGTTTATTATTTTTTCATTTTGACATGCACGTAGCAAAAAGCAGAAGGTAGCACAATGTTGATCTGACTGTAAAAGAGAACAATTCGGAATTCGGAGGGCAACACTGTGGATAATGCAATTAAAGACTGTCCTTGTTCAGAACCAGAAGGCATAGAAAACACCAATCACTGCAATGTTTTGGCTGTAGTCTTAGTCATGCATACAATTGATATAATTCTGACTATAGCTGCACACCTCCTTATCTGCTTGCCATATCACCCAGCACCATGCTGCTTCTTGCCCTTATCAGTTTCCATTTGGGGCTTTTCTTCACAGTAGCCACTAGCCCCCTGTTTGCTTCTCTTCAAGGGGAGTACTGAGACGATCATTCTAGCAACAAGGTCATGGACCAAGATCTCTGTGCCATAGCAGATCCAGACATTATTGAGCATTAACAGGTCAGCTTAAGGGATTTATTGAAAAAAATGTGGCTTATTCTAAGCCAGAAGCTTGATTGAGACTAACACTAAAGCAGAAACAGATATGGACATGGGGAGAGGGATACATATAGGATCAGAGATAATCATTAATATTACGGTTGATAGACAGAGATACTAAATTCTGTATATGTGGTCTTGGCAACAACTGCATTAGTGGGAAGCAATGAATAAAATATATAAACTGTCGGAATTAAACACAATCAAACTGCACAACAAATTTAATTATACATTCATAAATACTGGCATCACACAAATAAGAGAGTGTGATATATACAAAACACACTTTTACCTTTTACCCAAATGCACTTATAGATACTGCATTCACACATACTTACATCACACACTATACAATATATCCATGCATACACGCTCAAAATTACATTTTCATTTTTACATCCTGATACTACATGAAATGCACACATACAACGATATTTACATTACATGTAAATTCACTCTACACACACATACATACAAATGCAAACATATATACTACACATGTATGCACAAAATAGTATTTATGGTTGCATAAAAATTTTAATATAAGGGAAACTCTATGCATTACAGAGCCAATTAGACCATGAGGAATCAGTCAAGGGCTAGACAGAACAGGGACATGTGAGAGTGAAGGGAGTGTATAGAAGGAAATAGTAAGGTGGTCTTAAGAAGGGTGGGTAAAGGTTTAGGACTGAAGGGTGTGACAGTATTAATTGGAGGGCATTTTGCAGGCCAAGCAGCCATCTTAATTTTCAGTTGGTAACAGCCTTGTAGTTGCATTGGTATCTGCTTGTCTTGGCAAATTATGTTTTCGGCCGGGGCCTGAGTATAGACATCGAAGCTGTACTTTCTGCCTCAGGGCTGAGGCCCTACAAGATGGGGGTCTGCATCTGCAAGCTCAGCTTCAGATGCTTGTCTGCAGGCCTCCACGATGATTGCCGCCTCCCCTCTCGTCGGTCGCGGGCGTTCCCGGTGGTGAGCTCAGCCCCTGGAACGTTTCAGCCCTCCCGGGGGAGGTCGAAGGCTCACAGGTCTGTCGGTCAGCGGCCGCGAGATTTGGGAAATCCCCTCCTTTTCCCGTGGCTACTCAGGTGATGGGGCAGTCTGCTGCTGCCCATGCCTGGTTACAGTCTCCTTCACAGGCCCCTAGAAGCAGGAGCCTGCAGGCCTTGGTGGATCTCCTTCCCAGGCTACCGTCTGGTCTGACATTCTGCGTGTGACCTGTGGCCTAGGCGGGCGGAGTGTTGGACGGGCCTCCTGCTGTGGGGGGGGAGGGGCTGACTGGGTGTAGTGGGAGTCGGCGGTCCCCATCCTATTCCCATAGTGGCTCTGCTAGCCCCCTTCCATGGGTGCTTCTTCTGGGCCTACAGGGCACCTTCCTCATCCACCTGGGGGAAGGTGCCATTTTTGGTCTGGGTGGGAGGGGTATGGACCTACCTGTTTTTTCTTCACAGGTGGCTCCAGACCGGCTCCAGTGTTGAGTCAGTGTCGTGGTGGTGTGGGGTCCCCCTGGCCCCCGATAAGACGGCTGGTCCTTCTACTTGTTTGAGGTTCTTGGGGATCAAGCTAGATTCCGTGGCTGGGGAGTGTCGCCTGCCTGGGGGCAAGGTGGCAGATTTGCGCAGCCTAGTGGCAGCCGTTGCATCTCTCAGGAAGATCCAATTGCGGCAACTGCAGTCGCTTCTGGGCAAGCTGCAATTTGTCCGCCAAATTATTCCCATGGGCATGTTTATCCATCGTTTGGCGGCAGCGTCCTCTTCATTATGTGTGGATCACTGGGGGAGTATTGTTTGTCCATGTGTTTATTGAGAAAGGATCTGTATGTTTCTCGCTACATAAATCCAAGGTGGATGCTCCGGACATCCCTGGAAACTTTTCCGGATTCCTTTCCGCTGGTTGCTGCAGCTACGGCCCAGTCAGTGGTGGTCGTAGCTCTGTTGCCCTAGTCAACTCTTGTGCCATTCGGTGTGTCTGGTTCTGTGGTTGGGGACGGTTATAAAACATATCACAGGGACCCCAAAACATGCAATAACCCCATAAAGCAGATTCCGCAGAACATATACAGGCTATATGAAAAATAATTACTGTATGATGTGTCCCCTGTTGTATAGTTTAAAACTACTGCACAATGTCTTTGTGCACCAAATACCGGCGAGATGGCACCGTGTAGAAAAGTCAAAACAGTGCCTCACCATGTGCTTCATCCTTTGTTCTCACCATGTGTCTCTGATACATGAAATGGTGGCCACCCAGTAACTCCACAGTATGTCCCCAGATGGTTCTTAAAGGGCCAGCAGCATAATAAAATACAATATGCCCAAATCAGTTCCTAGAAGGGCAATACATCCCAGGCCCATAGTCACAGGGCAGAAGGCTGGCAAACAGGCCCCTCCAAAAACCAGTGGTGAGGTCACTTTTGCCACATCGGAGCTGTGTAGGGTCTCATATGCATCTTTTGATGTGGCTGTTCAGGTGGTACGAGCTGCGGGTCTGGGGGCACTTATGGCTAAGGCAGATGTCAAATCGGCCTTTTGGCTGCTCTCAATACATCCGGAATGTCAACACCTGCTGGGTTGTTTCTACGGGGATGGATATTATGTGGATATATGCCTCCGTATGGGTTGCTCAATCTCCTGTTTCTACTTTGAGCGCTTCAGCAAGTTCTTGGAATGGGTGGTAAGGGAAGAAGCGGCCTGTGATTCTATTTTGCACAATTTCATCTGTGTGCACACACCTGCTTTGGACTCTGGAGTCAGTGTTGAGTCAGTGTCGTGGTGGTGTGGGGTCCCCCTGGCCCCCGATAAGACGGCTGGTCCTTCTACTTGTTTGAGGTTCTTGGGGATCAAGCTAGATTCCGTGGCTGGGGAGTGTCGCCTGCCTGGGGGCAAGGTGGCAGATTTGCGCAGCCTAGTGGCAGCCGTTGCATCTCTCAGGAAGATCCAATTGCGGCAACTGCAGTCGCTTCTGGGCAAGCTGCAATTTGTCCGCCAAATTATTCCCATGGGCATGTTTATCCATCGTTTGGCGGCAGCGTCCTCTTCATTATGTGTGGATCACTGGGGGAGTATTGTTTGTCCATGTGTTTATTGAGAAAGGATCTGTATGTTTCTCGCTACATAAATCCAAGGTGGATGTTCTCAGCCGTAGTACTTGGTTCAGTGGTTTGTCCAGTCCGGTCGCATGTTTCCGGCTGTTCTGTGTGTCCGTTGGCCCGTTGCTGGTTCACAATGTTTCCAGTTTTCAGTCCCATTTTCAGTTTATCCGGGTCTTCCACATGGCGCTGGAAGCCCTGAGGATGCCTAGTGCTGAGTTTGGAGGGCACTCCTTCCAGATTGGAGGTTTTCAGAGGAGGCTATCTGGCGGATTGGGAGGTGGGAATCTAGGAGGTTCTGTTCTTACGTTCGTCCAGCCGGACTGATTCCATTTCCCGTTTTGTCTCCGTAGGTGCCGGAAGGCGAGTGAGGGTGATCGTCCATTCTCATGTGTATTGGGCACAGCAACGTGCAGAAGTTCATCCCGGAGGACTGCGACTGGGTCTGTCGCCAGCATTGGAGGACATCCGCTGGTTCGGGAACCGAGGCCTGCACTGGGCTCACCTGCTGTCTGAAATTGAATGGTTGGCCAACCACATGTGATTGTGTTTTGTTGTCAGGTGGTACTCAGTGACGTTACTTATTTACTGACTAAGTTATATGTTACGTTAATGTGTTATAAAGTTTATGTTGAAGATATTTATATTTATAATATTTAATAAAGCTGTGGCCTATTTTCACCAAGTAAGTCTGTGGATTGGTTATTTTGGGGTAAATAGGGTGGAGTGGGGATTAGTAGAAGGGTTTCTAGTTATGGCCCATATACAATACCCACTACTTACGCACATGTTAGGATAGAAATATATTACAAAATCATTTTGTCTAGCTGTACGTTTTGTTGCTGACTTCTTGATTTTAGAAACATTTGTCAAACCCTAATTATAAACTATAAAACCAAACTGATCATTCTCCAAAATACCTGTTTTAAATATTCCAATACAAAAAAAACCCAAATAAAATAAGCTACATAAATGGTTCAATACATTAGATGCATCAAGATTGCAGTACAATATACAAATAAACACACCTACCAAGAACTTGATGAGGTTCCATTTGTGTGATTTATTGAAAGCATGCTAGTATGTGTCTGCATCTGTAAGCTAGGCCAGTGGTCATTTGATTGGAACATGGGAATACATGCAGAGGGATTTTCTGTGTAACTTGCTGCAAGAATAAAAATAAATAAAAGTTAAATTCTGCCTCAAATATGAAGAAGGAAATCATAATCTTTACATTTAAGATTCTTTCTAGTATCTAAAACCATATTCACTGCCTAATTAAATTAATTTCATTTTTTTAAAATAAATTAATATTGTATTGTGAATTTTACTTTACAATTTTGGTAAATAATATACACAGGACAATTTTGGGTACATGATAAGTAATACATAATTGTAATGAAGAACAGTCATATTTTGTGTTGTGGGCTCTTTAAAGTACTAGATTTACAGGTACTCATCCTGCCCAGCTATTGAGGTCCCAATCACAAATGTTTTGGTGTTGCTTTTAGATTGATTTTCTGTTCTGCATAATTATTTTGAGGACTAGATGTTCTGATTAGTCACTAGACATGTTTATTCAACATACTACTTGGAAACTGGCAGTTACAGTTTAACGGGTTCTAGAAATGCTTAGTCCTTAGAGCAGGATAGGATAGTCTGTAACAAGGGTTTATAGATGCTTTCCAAAATACTTGGGAGAATGGTGGTTTCTCCCTTATTTATAGCTCTAGTGAAGCCATACACAACCCTGGTTTTTGCCTTGTCCTCTAAACAACATAGGTCCTGAATCACTTTCCTTGACTGGCTCTACAGCCTCAATTGCTATGTTTTGATAGATATGTAAAACATGACAAACAGTATTACAAGTTTCAATGTAAGTGTGCGGATGCAAAAACTGTTGACAGGAAATACAGAAAGCATAGGCCATTTATGTTACTGATGAGCTGTCATGGAAAATAGAATGGAGAATATGATCAACAACTCTTTCCCATTGCTGAAGACATTCTGATTGGGAGGGTCTATCGTGTATACTGACAATTAAAGGACACAATGTTTTTAAAAAGTTTATTATATTTAATAAAACTATGATTTTTTTTTATTTTTTTTTAAAATCTGTCTGACCAGCCATGTTGGATCAGATTCTACTATTTTCTGATCAACAGGCAAGTTAAGTTGAGGAGCAGGTGGTCAGACAACAGTAGACTATGACCCATCATGGCTACTGAGCAAGATTTACAGTGAAAATTTGATGACAGCTGTCTTAAGGAACAGGATACTAAGAGAGAATACAATTGATCACATATGTAACATTGCTTCTAGTAAAGGAATTACATGTACATAATTAAATTGTTGTATTGTCCTAACTAGCTGTGAAGCATTGATTTAAACTGATAAAATAATTAATATCTCTAAGTATTTGTTCTATTAACCAGTATTTCAAAAATATGAGGAAACAAAATTCACTGAACTGAACTTTGTGGAGGAGAACTTCATATCTAGCCTACCAATAGGGTTGGAAATAAACAAATTATTTTCAATGCATGCTGTCGCACCGTTCACTGCTCTAAATTTGCCACAGAGGTGTACTAGTTTTTGTTTTATTTCAAGCATATTTCATTTTCTACACAATACAAAATCTATTTTTTCCATTACTAAACTTTAGAAAAATATGTATAATTCTGCAAATACTTTACCTATTTAGATGTGAGGTCTTATACAAGGCAATGGAATGAATTCCAGTCTTTGAGATAACCCATAAATCATATACTGCATTATATAGTTTAGTTAATATACTATTTTTATCCACTAGAATTTGCTGCATCAAAATATTGAGTTTTCTTTTTAGCAAAGGTATACTCCAAGCATCATGACACGTGTGGCACATAATTGGTTTAACCCCTCTGCTTCTGGAAATGTAACTCTACCTCTGGCAGACATCAGCACACAAAGCATGCTGGTAACATGGCAGCAACCACCCCCCTACCCCTCCATGTGGCCCTAATTCTCCCCAGCCTGCCCTCCCTGACATCCACCCCTATCCAGCGATGGAGGGATGTCAGCATTGGAGTAACAGGCTACAGGAAGAACTTACTTGGGATCAACACTGGAATAGAAGAATGTTTTGGCTTTAGACTTTTTAATGGTGGGTGCATGTACCCACACAGCAATGGTTACTCTAACCAAATACATAACTTCATGAAAACATAGTTTTTATTTTGTCTAGAACAATCCTTTAACTACTTGCATAGAAAAATACACTACAGAGAATAAAAAAAGTGGACATATTCTTAATTATATTTGGAATGTAATTATTACTTACGAGGAGAGTTGTTTCTGTGGGAATATGGACTGGGGTAAGGAGAAGATCTGTGATTTCTCAGTGAAGAATATCTTTCACAGCCATGGGATGAAGTAATGCTTAAAGGACCTCCAAACTGAGAGTGATGACTGGCAGAGGAACAAAGTGAGCTGGAACCAGGTAGCAGCCAACTACCTACTGAAAGAGAAAGCAAATTACTAGCTGAAGTCAGTATAAATACCTGTGTTTTATTAACGTCCAACATCATGCTGTTTATTAGATTAGATGAAACCAATGTAGCAAAAGTAGACACATTCTCTAGCACTACTTTTCTTTCTCCAATTTAGACTTCCTTTTTTAAAATCTGTTGTAAAACATATTTTTTATAATGAATACTTGAGGTGTCATGGGATACAGTTATAGAACCTGTAACCTTAGCTTATTTGCCGGCCAGAAGGAATGATTTTTGTCTTTAGTTTTCAGTAAGAACAATCACATATGGATAAAATTTACATGATTCAACATTTAAGGATGTTTTCAGAATCTCAAATTGTGCACTAACACATGATTTTTCAGTACATAATTGTTAAAATTATGGTTATGTCTAGGGTTAGATCAGTATAGTACTTATCCTGGCCTGGGATTAATGAGTCACTTTCTCAGGCAGCAACTGCAAAGTGTGGCTTCCCCTTATGGACATGCTGGAAGAAGGGTTTTGCAAAGAGAGCGAGAGCACGTTTTTCTCTCTATAGCTCCTTTACCAGCAGAATAGAGCAGAATTGGTGAGTCACACTTCCAGGAAACAGCCACCATATCCAGTTGCCCCCATTAATGCACTCTGTCTTCTATTACTCATATCACAGTAGTGTAACTCTCACCACCATGGGAAACTCAGGGACATATATATTCCCATGCTATACTGACATTAGGGGCCTTGCATTGCACAATGTGGAGTAACACTGTGCATTATGTTTAATCGGATGTTTTCATTCTGTGTTTTCATATCCCATGCTACTTGTATGCACTGAGTTAAAACACTACCGAATAATTTACTTTTTTTGACCCTTTGTGTAAGTTTCTCTAGTCATTATAGGAAAAGTTATCTACCTGGTTTGCAAATACACTTTAACATATATCTTCTGTTAAGGCATGCAGGTTCCTACGGTCAGACCATCATCACATGACATTTTGCACATCAGCACCAACAGGGTTTATTCACCAACAGTGTTTATTTATTAACATTTGCTGAGCTGACAATCAACTGGCAACATAAGCTGGAAAAAGCCTTTTGAACGGACACTATAGTCACCTGAACAACTAATGTAACTAAATAAACTAATGCTTAATGTAGTTGTTCTTGTGAGTATAGTTAGAACTTGTAGGCATTTTGCTGTAAGCACTGCCTTTCCATAGAAAAGACAGTATTTAAATTGTTCCCTAGGGATATCTCCAGTGGCAATCACTCAGACGGCCACTAGAAGTGTTTACTTGGTCAGTGCATACACAAAGTGCAGAACTGATGTTCATTCTCTACACTCTGCATGGAGGTGCTGATCTTTCTCAACAGAGATGCATTGAATCAATGCATCTCTATGGGGAGATGCTGATTGCCCAGTGTGGCTTTGTGTCGCTCATGCGCAATAGCCCCCCAGTGCTTTCATGACCCTATAGTGTTCCTTTCATTTTAGTGGGAGTAACCTCCCTTGTGCCTACATTACTCTTTCTCTGTACTTTCAGTTCAATACTTTATTAGATTTAAGGTTTATACACTACTACTACACACCTTGCTAATATTGTTTTAGGGAGAAAATCCATTCATTTTTCATTCAAAATTAATTTTTATCTCTGAGAAAATATTTACATTTTACTTGCTCATTGTGACTGCTTCTGAGGGAACACATGAGCAGCAGCAAGCACAACATACCATAGAAATAGCCATAAAACGCTGTAGGGAAGTTATGTGAAAAAATATGGAACTGATCACTGATAAATCATTAGTATTTTCTTATGAGTTGTGTGTTGGTTAAAGTGGACAGAAAGCATGATTACACTGGGAAATAATTCAAAAATCCCTGTGCCTATTTACTTTAATCAAAATGTAAACTTACGTTGTGAATATCCAGATTGTTGATGGTTTTCAACTTCATCCATAAAATCCTTGCTTTGATCACTCCTAATAACCACAGAGCAGAGACATTTTTATCAAACTAAGAAGATTTATTATTATTATGATATTTATAGAGCGCCGTCAAATTCCGCAGTGCTTTACAATGCGTGGACGAACAGACATGTAGTTGTAACCAGACAAGTGGGACACACAAGAACAGAGGGGTTGAGGGCCCTGCTCAATGAGCTTACATGCTAGAGGGAGTGGGGTAAAATGACACAAAAAGGTAAGGATAGTATTAGACTAGTGACAGTTGCAGAAGAGGAATCAGTCAGGATGGGGGTATGTATGTACTGATTGACCATCACCCAATTATTTAAACAGGTAAATCCCCCTATCTTTGTCTACATATATATTTACACTGAAAACAGAAGGCTGTTTACTATTAGTTAGCTAAACCCCTGTCACATGCAAACTTTACCCTTCTGGCATTGGGGTTTTATTAGTCTAATTATTGTGATCTGGTGAAGATAGTAATATTAGTTTTCTAAGTCTATAATTTGTGTCAGGGGGCTGTTCAAGTTTGACATTATGGGGGTGTGGGTGAACTTAATTCCAGGTTCCAGGCAGCCATCTTTAATCTATATTAAATGGTCACATTCAGTATAAAAGGGATTGTTCTACAAGGTGATCATGGGCTGACATTAGAAGTAAACTTTACTACAGATAGCTGATTAAAACAAAATGGCTCATTGCAAACTGAAAAAAGTAGGTCAATAATTGTAGTTTATTAAAAGTATTAGAGGAAAGTACACAATAAATAAATATCAATAGCAAATGTGTGCTACCACAGGTAACATAGCTTGGTTTTGGATGTGTGGTGAATTACCATACATTCAAACACATACCTATCGACATAAAGGATGTTTACAGGCATTTCATAAGTTGTCTAAGTAGAACATTACCTTTCTTTTGCATCAAGAAAAGCTTTGGCAAATGGATTGTGTTTGATTTTAAGAGCAGTAATCTGAAATAAAATGTAAAACAAATTATAGATTATGTCAGTTTCAAATTGTGTTTTTTTTAGTCTTAGTTATTATTGACTAATTGTCATTTTTATTACATATACCAAATTATGTAAAACCAATTAAATCAATTAACTATATAATCCCTTGGATGCCAACCAATATAACAACCAAAATGGATTTCCAAAAATAAGAAAAAAAAAAAAAAAAAAATATATATATATATATATATATATTTAAAATGCTATTTATTTGGCTACACAGATGCAGTTCAGGGCAGTGAGGGAGTAATGAGGAGAATCAGTAAATAGTTCACAAGAGTGGAAGAAAAATTGTTATGGAGATATTCCTATTTTGCTGTGTTGACTTAGAGAGCAACATAGTGGTGTGGATTTTCATAGGTATGTGTGGACTTGGAGGCATGGTTTCTCATAAACATCTTTACCGTCAATAAAGGCAATCCATGAGTAATGAAATACCTTTCTCATGATGAAAGGTTTGTGATTTCAGTCAAGTATGAGTAATGTGTAGTTCCAGCACAAAAAGTTAGTACCTCTGTTTTCACCTCTTTTAAAATAATATAAAATAATATGCACAGTTTAAATGTTAAGTGTATTGTGTTCATTCTAAAATATCACAATTGATTGTAAAATATTGTATATGTTAAGTCTTAGAACCTAAAATATGTTTCCATGTCAGAATACAGAAGTATTCACATTATGACAGCATACAAAACAATTACAAATATAGGATTTAATTAATTAATATGTTGTTGTTCCAAGGAATAATTTTATTTATTTATTTAAATTTTGGATCAAAAGCATAAAATATGTGTTTAAAGTTTTAACTCAATGTAGTTGTCTTGTTTTAACCTATATAGCTTTGCAACTATGGTTTACTCGAGGAGCCAGAACAGCTGGGCAGACAGAAATACTGTTCAGGAGAGCAATGTAGGACTGATCAATACACATTTGCAATGGCTGGGCACCATTGAGGGAAGAAAAAAGATTCAGTGTCTAAATGTTGCATTTCACTCAGCGGACGGAGTCCTAGGTGGTACCCTAGTCATAACAAGAAATGTTCCAAAAGGCTAGTGGCAAGTATTGGGGATATATATGAGTGAGCCCTACAATTTTTGGTTGTAAAGTTATAAATTTAATGTAACAAAAATTTCAGGTCAAAATGTATGGGCTGTCAAATACAAAGATCCAAGGGCCGCTTGATATTCCCTGTTATTATAAGTGCTTAATGTACGATTTGGGACCTGCGAGTCTCTTCAATAATACCCTGTTAATAGACCTACATGTCTAAATCCTTTGCATTTGTCATTGGTGCATTATTGCTTGAGATACATACAAGACCTGCAAGTCTCAACTTCCTGCAATGACATATGACCTTATGACACAACAAACCAATAATTTGCATACTTGCCTAATGTTAGGAATGTACTCATTAGCCAGACTCAGCTCAGCCTACATCTTGGCTTTTATCTAGATGTGCCTGAACTAGCCCATTTCACCTTGATGCTACTTCCATACCTAATGCTACACATGCTTAGGCTTATATACTCACTTAATATAATCTATTTCCTGTCATAATATATTAGCATAACTCTACACTCATGACACACATGCCTAGCATAAAGTATAAGGCAATCTCGCAGTTTGCAATTTTACTTTCAATATCATTAATTTTATTTCTTGTTCAATGTGTGATACACCTAACATGTTTTTGATCAATATCTGAAATGCTGCCTGAACTATGCAATCTTGTGCGCAGGTTATAGTCTACCTATATGCAACTCAATGCTTGACTAATCTTTCTAACGTTTACCAAACTGTTTCTGCTAGTTCCTCAAAAAAAAAAAAAAGTGAGCTGTGACTTGGAATGCCATACTAATGACCACCATTGTTTGTTATAATTAAGTTTGTGGATGCTGTTGTGGCTGGACAAGCCTGTATTGTTAATCTGCGCACAACAAATATAAAAGGTTTACAAAAACAAAAATGTATGGGCTGTCAAAACCTAAAGAACACTAATTCTTTGGATATGCCCAAAATCACAATGCATTTCATGACAGAGAAGGTTTTTACCGGATTTTATAACAGAGTAGGACCTCATCACAGAGTATGATAGAGAATATACAATGCAATATGGAAAATTCTGCCTATGAAAACACTATAATGCCCTAGTAGTATGGATACTAAAGACTGTAGATTCAATTAAATGTAGGATAACTATTAGAGTAAAATTGTCTACCTTCTGTATCACAGATATCTCCTGTTTGTTTTTATTTACTTAGTCAAACACATCCTAAGATTATTTTTACAATTTCAAGAAATTGTGTCTCTCATAAGAGTGGTTGTATGATTGTGTTAGCTATGGGATTAGAATATTTTGCTTGATCCAGTATTAATAATTCAACACAGTTTAAACATTTAATTTTAACTGATTAGGTTGCCATAAATTAATTAAATACATTTGTCACAGAGTAAAATTAGGCTCTTAGCGACACAAAAAGAAGAAACTCAACTTTTTAATATGACCTTTTTATATGGATTTCGTTGTGTGATATTAGGTACTTTGGCCATTTACAACGATGGCTGATGATAAATATCTTAACCATTCCAGAGGGGTGGCCATGGACCTTTCATTTGTACACTATTAGGGTCTTATGATCACTTGGGCACTTCCAGTCATGTGAACGATCAATTGAACATTATTTTCTTCTTTTCCATTCTTCAAGTCTAGTCAAGGGTCTAACTACAAAAGTCATGCCGGTATCACATTTGGTATGCCAAATCAGTCATTTAATTCTGGGGTATCAGGTAAGATGCTTCTAACAATAACGATTTAACGAACGGCAGCTAAAAAATTGAATACATTTAGAAAAAGCAGCTGAGCCACAAACAAATGGCTGTCTCTCTATGCATCACAGTGTGGTGTTAAAGAAAATATAAGGTATAGATACCGTCTAAGTCCTAACTGAAATAAAGACCCTCAAAAATGACCCAGTGCCATCAAAGAATAGATGGGCATTACTATATTAATGACTGTGGAGGAGCCACATTACTTATTTGTGATTATATTGTTTTTTGCAATGTTTTCTTTGATTTATTCCAAAATGTATAACATTATATTACACTTTTGTTTTCTTAAGTACACTAGCTTGCATTTATTTGACCTTGCTTATATGGATTTCTAGTAATGATATTAGGTACTTTGGTCAACTACTAAGACAGCTGGCAGCTAAAAATCATAAGCGTTACAAAGGTGTGGGCAGTTTCAGTTGTAGACTATTAGGGTCCTATGATGACACGGGCACTTCTGTCATGTGATTGATCAATCAAACATTTTCAGTCCAGTGTTATATTTGCAATATTTCTCTCTTTATTTCTGTATTGACATTTATTTGGTGTGGATTTTTTTTTGTGTTTAATTGAAGTCATTTTTCTTAATGTTTTTCCTTCTCTTATTGGTGTTTTATCACACAAGATTGAGCGTGATGTCATGATGGCCATCACATATTATAATGTTCATAAATTCAACTATTGGACTAAAGAAAGTAATAGAAGAAAAGCTAAAGGGTTATTGTGCCGAAACATTATGTTAGGGTTTGCTATGCTGAGCCTCTTCTCCGTTATGAGTTGATTTTTTTTTCTTCTTTTTGCCTGTTTATTCTCCTTTTGTATTAAATTGTACTGTCATTTATAGTGTTGTACTGTATGTATAGGCTGTACTGTACAATGTTTTGTGTAATGATTTACGAAAGATCTTATATAAAAATTTTTGATGTGCATTTTATATAACAGAAAAAAGTAAAATGTGTATCACTTTTCAGATTGCTAGTCTTTAAGTACATGACAAAGAACTAAAAGTGTCTGAAACATGTTAAGCATTTAATTCGAACTATTTTCCTGTTGTCTGCTTATCTTGACTTTTTATATTGAATAAGAGATTTCTATCTTCAGGTTCCTATTGAATGCTTTTCTCTTTGCTGTCCCTGTTGAGGTTCAGATGGATTGTAATTTTTCTCTGATCTAAGTATAGCACAAGTGCTATGTGTTCCTGAAATGTTTAATTCAATCAAGATATGGGAAATGAACTTCTCTAATAACTGATTTGCAGAGAGTATTAGCCCTGGTCAGTTTTTAGTTACAATTCTAGATTAATTTGCCATGCAGTCAAAAGTGAATTAATAGAGCAATATGATTGCCTGAAATATTATAACATTAGGTTAAGGTATAACATTAAGTAAGTTAGTTACTACTTGATTTGTCCCATTGTATTTTTTAGCTAATTATGGTAACACCAGATGGTTTGTCTCTACCATGTTGGTTCCCATTGATCACCAGGTTCTTTTGTTTCCTTTGATATCAAGTATTCGATACTGTGTAATAGCGGACGCACCTCTCTCTTTTTTATATATTTATCACTCATACGTATTCTTATTTCTCATATATATTACTATTATATGTATTTTTAGATTTAGATTTTTTCTTCGAAGCAGCAGTGATTTATTAAAGGACTTGTCCCACTGTATTTTGCAATTAGTTGTGGTTCCAGTAGACGGTCTGTTCTCACAATATAGGTGTATATTGATTACTATGTTTTTAAAATTTCTGTTTCCCTTTATGTAAATTATTAGATGTTCTGTCATTCATTATAACCATTTCGTTTTTTTCTTACTCGTAACAGCGGATGTATCTTAAGTTATAATGTTATAATGTAACAATATTATGATGATACCAAATTATCAACTCTTCATAATGATTGCTTATATAATTATGTGCTTGTATAACTATGTACTTAAGAGCATGTATTTATGTACAATTGTAATGAATTACTGGTCAATATGTCTTCTATTATCATTATTTATACAATATTATTATCTTTGGATATTTATAAATAATTTTTAACTATTCTAATGATGTTATAAAAGAAGGTTTAAAAAAAGCTTTTCTGTTCCCAATTTGTTGTCTTGGCGAATGGAGGGTTAATTCAACAATTATATGCAATTAACCGATGGAAGTTAGGGAGTATATAAGAAGTTAATGCTCCTTTGATGCCATCCTCTGATGAAGTGATTTGAAATCACGAAACGCGTAAGGAAGGCATCCGACGATCATCAGTTCCTGAGAGAGAGATTTGGAACGCATAGCCGCAGTGAAACGCATGCGGAGAATACCCGGTGTCAGCTTAGCACGAGGCAGTCCTCCTCCTTCTCTGTCCGGCCGGCAAGAGAAAGTAACGTATATCTATCTTTTTTGGACCCTCAGTCTACTGTGACCCGGTAAACTATCCACCTCTCATATGTGGGACTGTTTTTTATTTTTATTTTTATTACCGTTAGTCTTTATATATTTTAGTGTGCTGTTCAGAGAATAAAGTATTAATAAGTTTCACGTCTGCTGTACATATATTTTACTAACTTCAGACTTTTTTTTACCATTTGCATTTTTCATTTGCATTTTTTCATTTACATTTTAATTATGCATACCTTCTTTATAGGGGTATGTTAGACATTTGTATCTGTGGTATTTGATTCTTATATATATAAGATCTTTACTATATTAACCCATTTGCAGCTGGTGGACACTACCTGCCTTACTATATAGGAGGTTTAGGTCCGATCAGCTGATACATTTGTATTTCATAAGGACACACTCAAGATCCATGTTACTTGATATTTCCACTGAGCCCAGTACATACTTTTTTGATTAATTTCAAATCAGCACCCTCCATATATAACATTAAGTAAAGTTGTTGTAGGAACATTGGGGGGCATTCTCTAGATCCCTCTTGATAGTAAGAGGACAAAAGTTTTTTTCCACATCATCTACATAGGGATTGTTTACATGGTTGTCTTTGAAAGTTAGGAGCACAGCAAGAAAGTTCCACTAATAATTTCCTTTTAAAAAGATTTACTACTTGGTCTTTTGATGCTGATTGGTAAATCAGAATCAACTTAGCAATTGGAGATAGTTCCAAAAGGCTTAAGATGGATTTTTAAGTGGACTTAAAGGGTCCTCCAAGCATTATCACCACTACAGTCTGGTGCAATGGTTATGATGCAATAGTTATAATGGCCATGTTTCCTGGTAATGGGGAAAACTGGTTGGCAATGGTCTGCCCTCTTACATGAGCACAACCACACATCAAGTGTTCTCTATTGCTGTTGACGTGCAACTGCTCTCTGCAAAGCCGCCCAAGCCATATGCTCATACTGCCAGTGATTCACTGGCTTAAAGCGTCTACTGTTTGCTCTCAGGTAATTAATGACCTTCTGTGCATAGAAATATGCACAACATTAACATTAGCCAGCATGGAACTCCTATTCTAAGTGCTTAATGAAGCTGTATTGATGCTGCCAGTGGTAGGGTTACAGCAAAGTGGTTAAACTATCTATGTGCAGACTCCAGTCATCATGACCACTTCAAATCATTGTGTGCTTGGAGTAACCTTTTAATTCACTGTTTTTCACTTGTTTGTCTACTAGTGAATAATATGAAGTATTTAAAAACCAACATCATACATAATGTAAAATAGTATTATTTGGAGAGAAAAAAATGGAACTGCAGGTGGAGAGAGAGGGACAAAAATATATGTTTCTGGCGCAAATATAATGATTATAGAAGAAAAGCTAAAGAAAATTATTGGAAAGATTACAAATACACCTAGCATAACCAACTATGACCTAATCTACAAAAATCACCTTTAAGTTACCTGTATTTATTTAACCTTTCTTATACATCAAAGTAATTTGGGTTCTTGGAGTGTCCTCTTAAGGGTATATTAAGGTTTGGAGTGGCTTGCTCTTTGTTTTATTGATCACCGCTTCAACACTCACAAGGTTATTCTCTAAAGTGTGAAACTGAAATGCCTTGAATTCTAAGTAAATTTCAAATTTTAGGTCATATAAGCCAATCTGTAAGTGACATTAAGATTTTTTAAATTTGGCAAATTTAGTCTAAAATTTGAGATATGTTTTGAGTTTTTCAAAATTTACACTTCAGTAAGTAACTCTAACATAAAAATCATATAAGGCATAAAAATAAAAACAAAAAGGAAACACAAATATTATTTCATACCTCTTCATTCTGGTAAGCTGTCACAGCTATAAATTGTGTTTCTGGGAATGAATGACTCGTAATCATTTTTTGAGGTCCCCCAACTCTTACTATATGAATTCTGGGTTCATATTTATGCAATGAATTTAACATAATCTGAAACAAACAAAATACATTGTTCAAGTAAAATGTTATGATTCTTCAAAATAATATTTTTATATTATTTCAATAAGAAACGTTTAATTCAAAATTATACTTGCATAAGTAAATATTATTTTAATTTTTACTAATAGTAGACATCTAGCTATATATATATATATATATATATATATATATATATATATATACCAATATTTAATCATAAATCATGTAAATGCACTTTTAATTTTACAAACATTGTGTGGTGTGTTTTCCAACATCAGGTAAATGTGTTGATTTGTCCAAATTTGACAGTCTTCAGTTAACTACATGTCAGTGTTTCGTAAATACTCTTCATATTAACTAAAGTGTGTTATCATAATAATGCTAATAATTTATGTATCCTGTGAGTGTCACACTGTACTCTTAGAATACTAAAAATAAAAAGAGCTGCATCCCTTAAATGTTGTGAACAACTGAGATGCTGCACACACCATCTCTGCATATCCATTCATTGACAGAACTTTAATTCAACAGCATCTTTAAAGCAAAAATTCCCTTGGGAACAAATATATCACAGAATTATTAGCTAAAGTTAGAACTGTCTGACTGCTAAATGTGTATATAACATGATATAATTCACTGCTGCCATTTATGCAAAGGATAACCAAAATAGAAAATTCAATACAGTATATATTTTATAGCTCCATCTTAAACACAATGACCTGATGTATTATTATTTATAGATATGATTGCTTCAAATCCAATTATATTCAGTACAATAAAAACAATACAAAATGATCTCTACAGTCAGGAGTTCAACTTATTGCGCAGAGGCCATCGACAACTCGTAATTAAAATAAAATTACCTGGCCTTCTCCATTCATCTTGTTGGTAAGTTTAACTTTGCTGAAAGAGACAGAAGCTTTCATCCAGTGTGCTCCAAAATTTGGTGAGTCTGGGTGAATATAAACACAGCTGGGTGCCTGTGGTTCAGGTTTCCCACCAGGAACCCATTCTCCATTTACGTATTTCCAGCGGTTGTTGTCAGCAGTCACAAAGTCCATCAGGAAAGAGTACATGGCATTTGGATCAAGACCAGTAACATTAATTTTTAGCACAGGAAACATTCTCCTGCAAAGAAAAAGATATAATTATACACTGCTAAAAAAATGTGCAAATTGTGATGTCTTTAAACAAATGTGATCATTTTAGGATGTTTCAAAGCCCAACAAAATTAGGTCATATATGTTTAAGTTGGTTAGGCGTAACATGTTTATCATATATCTTGTTACATTGAAACTGATGTTGCTGTTCATGAACATTGTATGATCAGAGACTACTTGGCTCAAAACAGGAGGAATATGTTAAGAAGAATAAATTAAATGAGAAACATATTATGGTCAGTTTTAATGTAGTGAGTCTCATCTTTTTAAATTTTAAGTTCAGATTTGTCAGCAGGAGCCACTATTCATCAGTATTAACTACTAGGTTAACATCTCATCTAATATATATTTTTTCATACATTGTCCTCTTTATTCACTACAGTGTTAATTGTCAATGATTCAAACGGAAGTCAGTGTTATTCACTAAACTGTGTTCTAATGAGAATTCAAAGTGAATTTTTAATTTTAGGGGGGGAAATGGCAATATGTGCAAAATTCACCTAGCTATCTATGTTTTCAGTTCAGCTAATAAGTGTCATTTAAAAGTCACTTGAATTCCCAACATTGTACACTTTAGTAAATAATCTTGAAAGTGAATTTGAGATTTAAAAAGTCAAAATTAAAACATAGCTGCTTGACATGTCTGGCAATTCACACATTAGTAAATTACCATGAGTGCCTGCACTATTATTTTTATAAAGAACACTCTTGCGTGCCTTAATTAGGCATCTAATATTTCTAAGCAGAGGAAAAAATGTTTTCACATGATTAGAAACCGAATTAAAGGCTAGTTTAAACTGTATAAAATAATGAAATGAAAACCATATTAAAACATATTGAAATGATTTTGACTTTTTACCTGTAATTCCTTTAAAACCTACAACACAATACAATTAGAATTGTAATTTCAGGATTTGCATGAACATTGTAAAATGTATTTATGATTTGGCATCTGTAGTTATACTATGTCAATCATTATAATTATTTTGTGTATAAAAGGTCATTTCTTGTTGCTTGTATTTTTCTTGCTCAAAATTATCGACAAGAGTGAATATAACACAATGGTATGAAAATCTTGATAATTTTTAGATCATTTGCATGGATATCCCATTCTTACCTGCCATTTTTAGTGACAATCATTTCATTTGTAAGTTCCTTAAATCTGGCCCATAAATCTGTCTCCTCCAGAGAAACTTTGAGTTCTCTCTCTGTTGGATCCCCTTTCTCGCTTCCAGCTTGCAGTTCATTTTCCACAGCAGTAAGAAGATGGTCCATTCTGCAAGGAAGACTCTTGCCACAACTCTCAGTCCCATTAGAAGTCATTCTTAAAATTCAGAGAAAACACAAAACTAGGAGTGAGCCCTCTCCTCTAAAACAATCCACAAGAACTGAACTCATCAAGGAGCACTGAAGTTATGATCCATGATGCACTGGGATATCACTGAAGACATCAATGGGGCTTGGGGAACTGTTGTGATTGGTGCAGACTTTCTTTTGATGTTGACCGTTCTTGTTTCTGATTGGAGAAAACCTTGTTCAGTTTTCAGCTACTTCTAAAGTTAATTGCCCACCTGATTGAGCTAGACTATCTGTAAATATCTAAATGTTTGCACCTACATGGAAGACCACAGGTGCCATGAGGAAGAGGTGTGTCACAGAGCTCCATAACCTGTTTTCAATTTAATAGCCTTCATTAGGAATTAACACTCAGGAGAATTCAAATTTCAAATCTTTACTAGTTAAGGGGTAGAGGTGACTAAATGGGTTGTGTGACATGTTTTCTTGCCACATATGCGTGACAGTTTATAAGGAAAAAACAGCAGGAAATAATTGTCTTCCTTTCACTTTAGTTGATCAAAAGGAACATATTTTACAACCATACTTGTCAAAGGTAAATGCCAATAACAAAGGTGGCATCTTCTCCAGATCCTCTATGCATTGAAAATGAAGATATGTTATGCCATTTATTTAATGTCGACAAAAATATAAATATTTACTTATATAAGACATGAGAAATCTATATATAAGAAAAAGACAAAACAGTCTATTCCATGTATCTAGTACCTTGCTGCTTTCTCCGTGGGGCTGTAACTGTCAAGGGAGCATATCCAATAATTCATGTACTATCTGCACTGAATTGCATACATAGAGTTCTTCTGTCTTTATTTGTTATAGGAATTATTATAATTTTCAGAATAATTTGTTTCCAAATTTAAGTTTTGTATTTAGGCCTTGATTTAATATTTTTGGATAAGCTGTTGAAATGATTTTATATTTTTGATTAAACTGTTAAAATTAGTTTTTCAAAATATAAAATATATATCATATACAAAAAGAAATCAATATATCAAAGCATTTTAAAATATCAGAATATTATTCTATTTTTTAAAATATGAAATACTTTCAAAAGTTTATCCAAAAAATACTAAATTGTTTGCAAACCTTATACAAAAAAATTTAAATCGTGGCCACATTGCATTATGTCCTTCAAATTTTTTATATGAATGTAATGTTTACACTTTTTTTTAAATGATAGAAGACAAAAAGCAAGCAATTTCTGCTAAACTGATATAACATAGAAAAGTTTTTATTGTATTTTCAATACTTTTACTTTTTCCAAAGCATATCTTTACTGTAAAGTTTATAATTGTCACGCAGTTTCTGTCATTTGTGAGCTAGTTACAGTAGCAGTTAATTACCTTTGTGTGTGAGAGAAAGTGACAACGAGCAGGAAATTGATCACTTAGTTCACTGGGCACAATACAATCCTTTTACATAGTCACATGCTGTTACTCCATTAATGTACGGACTTGTTTCTTGCTGGATTTAGTAGAGTTATGAGAATTTAGATCAAATAGATTAAAGACAGTTTTAAGCCTAAAACATCTTTTAGCATTGTTCCTAGAAATATAAGGCACAATACCAAAAACACTAAAAGCACAACACTAAAAGCCAGAGTAGCCAAAGTGAAATTGTAGTTGACCTCTAGAAATTTAAAATTCACTTGGAATTCTCACTTTAGTAAATAACCCTGTAAAAGATACCGATATTCTTTTCTGTTACATAATGACCACATCACCTGTAATGGGACAGTTTATTAAAAAGAGATATACTTTGCTTTTTTTTAATACATTTTAGCCAATTCAATGTATATTTTTCATAACAGCTTTTGACTACAACAGTGTAGTATATATATTGAAATTAATCTATTTGTAAATAGACAATATTTCAAAGTCAGTTTATTTTTTTGGCCAAAATAGCTAATTGATAACTGACTTAAAAGATTTTAACATTTGCACATTTTTGCCAAACATTTGATATTCACTTAGATGTTTTGGCAATACACAGTTTAGTGAATAACCCTGTTTAATTATGATAAAGATTAAAACAAAAGGAACTATCCTGATAGAAAACCAGGCCAGTGAACAACTTCTGAGCATTTTTTCACCTTTGTGTTTGCTTATGACAGTACAAATAAGGAAAAACAAATGTACAGTAGAACTGGTTCGGAATTGCCAAATAAAGAAGGTGTCAAATGGTTAACACAACAAACAAACAATTTCATTGAAATGACACTAAGAGAAAATTAAACTTGTCAAACAGTTCCATAAACTGTGTTTTGAAATCCTAGAAGACAGAATGTTTTAAACAACATAAAGCAAAAAGGTAAATTTGTTAACATTTTTAATTTAAGTAATATTAGTATAATCCTAAATCCAGTAAATAATTTGTCCGACATTCTTATATACACAAAGGAAGAACACTTCAGTTATGCAGTGTGATTGAATAATTGGTGATGTATAAATTAAAAACTATACTTACCCATAGTAAGTGCCTGCCACCAGCAAGATGGCCATTAAAATATGAGCAACTACCATCTATTGGTGACATCTGATTTGGTCATAAGTATTTGAATTGTTTTATTTTGTTAAAATTCACAATCACTTGCTGCTTATTATATGCTTGTTCACTGGATGAACACAGTGAGATTTAATCACTGAAGAACTGAATACCAAGGTTTTATAAGTATATACTTTGTAAGGGTAGATAAAAACATGATGACATTGTTTTCTCAACAATTTGTTGACTAAATAACAATGTATTAATAAATTTACATTTTCTTTTTTTTCTTTTAAAATTCAATCTGGAGACAAAACAAAGCATATATTCAATTTCATCTGATTAAATATTCCTCAAACATAGATTATGTATGTACAAAATTATAATGTTTTCTAAAATTTATATATTTATTTTATTTTTTTAAATATATGTTATTTTTCATATAATATATGTAATTTCTTTTAAAATCAATACATTTGTTATTGAGATGTTATTGTGTTATTCTGTAGGTGATGGGGTTATGTATATTAGTATTTAAGGCTTGGGATATGAGTTACAGATAGGCTATGGATCAGGGATGTAATTTAGGGTGATTATTTTGGTTTCACATTAAAGTTGAATTTAAAAGGACATTATAAGCACCCAGACCACTTCAGCTGTTTGAAGTGGTCTGGGTACAGTGTTCCAGAACCCTTGTAATTATTCAGTTTTTAATAAAGTGTTATAGTTACCTGCCAGGGTTAACTCCACCTCTAGTGGTTGTCTACCAGCAATAGCAATTAGGTTTAGGACAGCATTAAGGTTAGGTTAAAGTTATGGATAGAGATAATAGTAGTGTTAAGCTTAGAGTAGGGAAGGTTTATGGCTATTAGTGAGTTTTAGACATATCATTGAGGGACAGGGTTAAATAGAGACTTTCACTTATCCAGAATTTACTTATTGAATAAAATATTAAACGTCACCTGTAACTTGTTCACCTTTTTCATATGATGCTCGCTCAGATTTATTTTAAATTTATATTAAATATATTTTAAATTGCATCATAATCCAGTTTCTATCATTTCTCTTCTTCTCTGTATGCTTTCTCTATGTGGACTGTCTGGTGCTTATATCAATGATTGACAGTGAGCTAAGATAGAGGTACCCAGCTGCAGCATAAAGAGGTGTGTATTTCTATATTTGATTTCATTTTCCACACCTGAAAAATACATATTTGTTTAATACAGTGATAACTAAATATTATAGTACATTTTGGGATGTGACAGTTCCTATGTAAGTGTTTCTTTCAAGGTTAAAAATATCTAGAGGAGCAAAACTGGTTATGGTGATTAAAGATAACCATAGAAATTGAGGAAAAAAAATTAGAATTGAGGACATTCTCTATATCTTCCAAAAAAGCACAAAATTCACTTTACAAATGTTTTAATATCACAAAATGTAATTTGCAAAAAAGACAACCGACAACATTTAAAATTATTGTGGATTGGGGACTTTTTCCCCCCAATAAAGTTACACTAACTACTGCAATTATAAATTATAAAACATTAGCATTTTGTATGCAGTGGTACATAGTATAGAGATATGAAGGCAATGAGCATCCAGTTAATTAATATATGCGCCTACTCACCAGTAACGGACATATCGTGCTTAAATGGTAAACTTGGACTCTATTACCGTACTCAGACCATATCTGAACATACAAATCCAGACATAACGCTTGTGATGTCTATCAGTGTGTCTTCTTTGTAGTTTCAGAGGCTGTAGAAAAAAATATTTCTAAATAAAGTAATAACAGCAATAGACTGAAATAGACTAACAAGGGAACTCACTAGAAGACATAGTATATATTTTTGTTCACATGCAGATAGCATTTATATCTCTTACACATTACAACTAAAGTATTCAATATATATATAGCTTTGCTGTATTTATCTGCAAAAATTGTTTGTCAAATTCTGACCTCGTCTCTCTCACTTTTGACCTTCTCCTGACCTATCCTAACAACATCCCTTTGCAAATCAACATTTTCAAGTATGCTAGAAAAGCATTAACCTCTGGCCACTAATCACAGCAGTAAAAACTCCAACCTTGGCATACAAAGTTAACACTGTAACTCCAAAGGCACAACAAAACTGTTGGAGTTAGCTGGAGGAAGTTTCTGGCTACATCTGATTTACTGTACTATGAATTAATTCTATGCTTCTATAGGTGAACCTTCCTCTTGCTGAGCAAACTAACTTAAATGGTTACATCAAGCACCATCAGGTCTTAGGCCTTTAGGTGCTTTGTGCGAAAAATATTTACAGCGCCCCTTCCTGGTCACACGCACTCATCCATGAATAGTGTGTATACAGGAGTGGAGTTAATGCATAGGGGGCTTTATTAAAAAAAAAATATATTAAAAAAATGCCTTTTTTGCTGTGATTTTCCTTTTAAAAAAAAATATTTTTATTAGAAGTAAGGGACAAATAGAATATGTTTTAAGTTAGACATACAAATCATCCTGTTAAAGATAACTGGATTCAGCAAAATGAGGTAAACATGCAATATAACAGTCCCAAGTTCTAGAAAATGCAACATTCCCCACCAATGCATTCATTCTTAATCAAAAATTATAAATTATTTCAAAAAAATGAAAAACAATTACAAGCTATAGCGATAAGTGTTTTGGATTATGATAGTGTTGTGTAAAAATATAGCAAAGGACATAATGTTAAGTTAAAAAAATTTAAATGGGTATGTAGGGTCAAGAAAGCATACCAACAAAATACAGATAACCAGACCCAAATTCTAACAATCTAACAAATCTAACAAATTTTAAA